GAGAGCCTTTGGTCACAATATTTTTGTCAACTGATCATGCGCAAACACATATTTACTCTGTAAGACACATCACAGCCTTCCTGTGCTGAGGAACACTAGGCAAAACTTCAGCACTATGCTTGGGGGGCCATTTAAAGCAGCAAAACCACCAAATAAGAGCATGAAAATGAAAAAAGCTGTAGTACTAAATAGACTATGAAAAAGATACTTGCTTGTAGAATGAGAGCTGAAATAAGGAGCAAAGTGTCAACTTGTTTGACCTCAGCTGAGAATGTGCATGTCAGGTGTCTAAAATTTTCACTGTTTTGTGCTTGCCTGTGAATGACTGAGAAAGCACTGCAAATATCTATTTTGGGATTACAAATAAATTTTAGTGAATAGGCAAACTCGTAAATACAAATTCACAATGAGTATTAACTGTACATATTTTTCATTCTCATTTTTATAACACCCAAAATAAAAATATTTACTGCTTTAAGGAGAAACTAATGATGTTCTATAGTTTCTTCCAGGTTTCTTATTTGCTTTTCAAAGAAGTGTCTAGCCATAATAATCTGGAACAAAGCACAGACCAGGTAAGCACTAAAGGCACAAGAACTATTAAAACAGATGTAACAAATTCCTCAAAGACACCAAGACCTTTTTTCATAGTAGATTTCTCCAGTATCTGACTCACAGCCTTTCTTTTAAAAACTAAGTTCTGGTAACTCCATGGCAGATTTAAAGCAGCTAAACTGACAATAACTGACAGCAAGGAAAGAAACTATATAAGTCTAGAAAGTACAGTCAATCCTCAACATACAATGGTTTGACTTATGATTTTTTGATTTAATGATGGTGTAAAAGACATAAACATTCAGTACAAACTGTACTTTGAATTTTGATCTTTTCCCAGGCTAGCTCCTGTGATGCTGGGCAGCAGCAGCCAGCCGTAGTGTCCAGTCAGGCACGTGAACCTGAGGGTAAACGACCAATACTACACTGTGTTCACTGTGTTAGATGATTTTGCCCAACTGTAAGCTAACATAAGTGTTTAACTAGGTTAGACTAAGCTAAAATGTTTGGTAGGTTAGATGTATTAAATGCATTTTCGACCTATGATATTTTCAACTTAGGATGGGTTTATCAGGATGTAACCCCATTGTAAGTCAAAGAGTATGTGTAAATAAAAAGACCCCCAACATGCTTCAAAATATTGGAGGACACAATATAATCACTAATGGTTAAGATTATAGCTCTGAATCAGCAATAAAGTTTCGCTACTTTCAGTGTATTAAGAACACAGGCAAGTATATGTTTTAGAATAAGTAATTTCCATACACAAAGTCCTAGACACATAACCTTACACACTATTCCTGTGAGGTATTATTTGTATTTCACAATGAGAAAACCAAGGAGCAAAAAGACTAACTTGCCTAAAGTCACACAGGCTTGAAGTCAGGTTTTGTTTGATTCCAAAGCCTGTCTTCTTTCTAACTACATCATGCTACCTGAAAACTAATGTTTAATGGCACGAAACTCAATTATCTAAAAAGTAGCTAATTTAGACCATCTCATACTCTGATATATTAGTGAGATTCCATGATGAGGAGACCCAAGGAATATGGCATACATTTGGACTTCTGAGAAAATGACAGAATGATCAATAATGAGGCATGCATTTATAAGTACAATGTGGTAAAATAAACAAACAAACATAAGTTGGCAGAAAAAACTACTGTATCAGTTGCAATACTAAATATGAATGAACTAAATTCTCTCACCATATATAAATATCGTAACCATATTCACGAAGATATACAACTACATAAAAAACAAAACCAAGCTGCAGACTAATTTATATGTAAAATTATTTATAAACTCCACTTCATGTGTCTGTGCTAATCAATTTTGCTCATGTTTCCATACCCATATCTATGCTAGTATATGATTAGGTGCAAGGAAAAAAAGGAAAAAGGATACAATCAAGGATAGAAACATGGGTTACCCAGCCTGTGTGTGTGGGGGAAATGATCGAAAAGGAAGGGATGAGGAGAGAGGAGGAAGTCAGAAAAACAAAAAACTACCTGTATGACGTGATCCTATTTATGTAAAATTGTTTGGAAGAAATGAGAAAAACAACAAAAAACCCCAACCATAATGTTTTAGACTAATATTTACTTATCTAGTATTCATAATATATTATTAGGGAAAAATGCAAGATAATGTCTGTTTCATTAGAACCTACCACCCAATTCCAATATGTGTGTATTTATAACTGTATATGTTTGTATGGGCAGGAGGCTAATACAGAATGTATACCAGTTTGTGAGCACTGGTGACCCAGAGGTGGGGCAGAGTGGGAAATGACAATTAGCTTTCCTTTTACACATCTTTGTACTGATTGCTTTATTTGTATCCCAACAAGCACAATTTATTTTGTAATAAAAAAATCTAATGAAAAATTTAAAAAGTATATAGAAGTTACAAAAACAAAATAATAATATTAATGATAATAATATGGTATATAAATGAGAATTAATTACATATACATACAAACACATATGTGCAAGCTGGCCTTTGTCATTAAAGAAGTATGTTCATTCAGTCTGGATTTACCAAGCTTCTCCTCTGGGCCAGGCCTGTTCTAGGTGTATGAGTATTCAGACAAACCTCTGCTATGCATATAAATATATCGGAATATGTAAGATAAAATATAAGGTATATAAGCTAGCAACTCTAGTTTTATGAAGGGATGGTCTGTATATATGAGCACTTATATGGTAATTCAATGATCTGAATAATAATAAATGCCAACAATTAATCTTTAAGTTGGAAATCTGAAAAAATTATGGCCATTTATTTATTAAATACTGCCCAGAATAAAATCTTCTGTAAAGAATGCTGCTACATTTTGAAAAAAGTCATTAGTTAATAAATGTTCTTTACCCAATAGGTGAAATCAATTCTGTATGTGACCCGACTTCCTACCAAATTACTAGCATAAAAGATATAGGATACAAGTATGACAGGATACATGTTCCTGCTTTACATGCAACACATTTTATTTCTCACACTGGTAATCTGATCGATGCCAGTTTGTTACATGGTAACCAATCACTACTCTCAATTACAGCTAGCTTATTTCAAATTTGTGTGCCTCATCTAGGTCACAGTCCTAAACCATGAGTAATTTCAAAGACTTTTCATCAAGATTCAAATTAGAGGTTGCTGGAGAATCTCACTTATCTTTTAATTGCTATGCTTCCGAGCTATTCCTTAGGCCAAAGTTAGAAGTCCAAATTTTTATTTTCCTTGCAAAAGCAGGCCCAGAGACTAAAAGTATGTATGGTTCATTCCAAAGTGTAGTTGTCAGCATCTACCTGACAGCTTTTGAATTCTGCCATCATGCTTAAAATAAGGCTGAAAGTAGAGCGGGTATGGAATTGTGCTCTCTCACCTCTACACACACGTCCCAGGGCCAGCTCTCTAAGAAGTCAAGTAGCCAAGATCTTTTTTGTTTCAGAGGATTGATAAATATAACAAACACAAGAATGTTTTAAGCCATGTTATATAGAATTTGACAGGCTTCATCTCCTTCCTTCATGAAAGCCTTTCCACCCGGCATGTAGACCTATGAAAGTAACTTGTAAAACAGGTCTTTTGGTCTCAAATGAGTTGTCTAATTAAGTAATACCTATTTCTCTCGGCCTCTGCCCTACAAAAGAATGATTACTGTGGTAATTTTCTTTCAGGTAAATGAAAAGTTACACTTTGGCTTAAAAATCAAGTAATTCGGCACTTTTCACATCTATTTCACCTGCTTTAACACAAAATTCTGCCTCTAATTGACAATTCAGAACCTGAACTGGCCTTATGAACCCCAAACTTAGAAAAAGAGGCTCAGATTGAGAGTATAGAACTTAAACTCACGCAACAAATAGGAAATTTAATGCAGTCTATATTTCTATTTTCACTGTATAGCAGCTCTACCTCAGAAGAGCTAAGACTCATTACAACACCAAACTCAAAAAAGCTGCCTGCGAGATCCACAACCAACCTGCTGTTTAAAAAGCCTAAGCTTCTTCTTCAATCTGTGGCAGCCACAGAGTCATGTGAGCTCTTCTGGTGTGTGCGTGTGGCCCCAACAATAAAATCACTGTCAAGTGCCCATTACCCAAGCGGATTCACTGAAGCAAGTATGTCAACTCCCTCTTTACCCTTAAATACTATTTGTAACCATAATTGGGTGGCAACCTTTTATCAGCAACTGTAACCAAGGATCTCTTCTTAAGAAGAGCACCAAGGCCCCTCTGGCAAACTTACAGAGATGCTGTGAGAATAAATGAACTGTAAAACATTCTGAACAACAAATTAAAGGTACCCAATTCAAAGGAAGATTGCTATTTTTAACACTTTAAACTTATCAGAGAAGCTTCTGCTCTTCTAAGTTGAAATAGCTAATGGAATACTACACAACTAGCTTTAATATAGTTACTATCATTTGTTTCTCTTATATACTTCCCTCCATGTACAGATGAAAAATGAGCTCCCCAGAGTCTGAAAAATTTCAGCACGATATCCTGTTGCTGAGGTTAAAGGAAATACATTCTCTCCAAACTCCTATAAAAATCTTAAATATTAACACTCCGAACTCCAAAGTCTATGGCCAACTATTTTATTCTATTTGGGTAAGTAAAAGGAGACTGGCTTAATTTTAAGAGAAAATCTGACTCTTCTTTAGTATACATATGGAATCCTTTGCTTATACTGATTTTGTTAAAAGAAATATTAGAAAAATAGATTGTATCATAGTTTTTCTATTCTACATTAGATAGTGATCTCAGGCAATGCCCCTTACTTTTAGGCAACTTTAAAATCAGTGAGACCATAATCCTGATAAACAATAAGAAACTATAGTATTAGGTTTCTTAGTCATACTCACCTTAAATTATTTTG